TGAAGGGGCTACAAGAAAGCTGGGGATGGACCTTGAGATTTCTGTGGTTGAGAAGATTTCATGCTGTTAAGAAAGAGACCATGAATACTTTGCCAGAGCCATGGGTATGACAGAAGGCTTGGTCCACTTTATCTTTTTTCACCACAAGCCATTGGAAGCCTGTCTGATGGGGTTTTCTATCTACTTATCATGGACATCATATGATGTCCATATTGATGTTAATGCATATAGCTGTTAACGTTTCCTAGAAATACAAACTTAAACTAACTCAATTTAAAAAGAAAATATCATCTGTCATAATTGTTACTGCTGAAATGCCCCAAACAGCCCTCTGTGCCCACAAGAGCCTGTTATGCCCTTTGTACTTGGTACAATATGAGATTACTGAGGAAAGAGTTAATCAAAGCCATTAAAACCTAAGGATCAGTTCAACAGTTATAACATTTTTATTAGGGGGAAAGCTGTGCACATCTTCCAAATATGTGTGTTCCTAAAGATGGGTCCTTTATTTGTCTGTTGTAGGAAGATCTCTCTTGCATGGGAGTGGGGGCTTTGAATTGGATTTTCAGTTGGCTAAATCAGTCAATTTTTGTGGTGTTTATGTGTTGTAGAGGAGTTTTGGGGAAGAAAGAAGAGTCTGTATCACCACAGGAGAGGACATGTTTCTTTCTGAAGTGAAGAAACAAAAGATTGACTCAGAATTACGTTCAGTTCCTGATACCATTTTTAATTACTTCCTTTTCTAAATATTTGAATTTTAAAATATATAAGCTTCTTAAACTTACTTCCAAGTTGCACTAGTATTTATTTATTAAATCAGTATTTGCATTTCCTACTCTTGACAGCGGGATGTTCTATGATGGAAATCATACTTACCTTATTGAGCCAGATGAAAACTACACTTCAGATGTAAGTAGAACTTAGTGTAGTCTGCTGTGTTATTTGTTGAATACAGATGTTCATGGGTACAGGGTAGGCATAAGGCTCTGGGACCAAAGGGTTATCCCCTCATTCCCAACTCATTTACCTCATATGTGAGTCCCCATTGCCACAGACAAAAGTAGACCTCCAAAAATTAGTCAGTGGTATGTGTATATGTGTGTACTCTGTAACACTTGGATGTAGAGCAGTGCAGCACCAGGGGGTGATGAGAGTCCTTTGGAGCCAGCAGGAGAAGCCTGTGAGTGCCCTGTCCTCTTCTCTAGCACTTGCCACTCTGGATTCATTACATCTGTCTCCTCCTGGTTTTGCTTCAACTCCAGTTCAGCAGCTCTTGTGACTTTCACTGATGTTCCCTGGGCAGCTTTCTTAATCCTAGCTCTAAGTGTGTTCAGCCACTCCATTTGATGTTTTCAGATATTTCAAATAAGAAAAGTTTAGCTGTGGCATTACTGATCACATCACAGTTGGGAAACGGAGAAGAGTGTAGAGTAATGGTGGCTTGCAGCTTGCATGTTAACTGTTGTAGGTGTTGGGTAACAAGGAGCTTTGGAACTGTGTATTTAATGTTCATGAGATGGATTCATTTATCCATGTTTAATGCATGCAATTATCTACTATTTCAGGATGACTTCCATTTCCACTCTCTTTACAAATCCAAGTTATTTGAGTTTCCTTTGGATGACCTGCCATCTGGTATGACTTTTTATATTCATGACTTATTGACTTGTTTTAGTCTAAGGCCAAATTCATTAATTTTGTTTGATAGTTAATCTTCTGATAGTGTGTTGTTTATTTGTATATACCTTCTTTTTCCTGTTTGAATAAAAAAAGAATCTGAAACACTGAAAGGACTAGAAAAAAACCTGAAGCACTGAAAAAAACCCTGAATCCAGTGAATCAGACCTCTCCTAGACTTTCATGTTTTGATGTATGTTTCTCTTAACAAGTCTTGTGGTCTGTGGACTGCATTATATGCTAGTAATTGTAGAAAGGAAAGGGCTGAGATAGCCTAAAGATGATTAAAATAAACCCCACATTGCCAGTGGTTGATAACTCTTCATGGATTTTTCCTATTTTGAGATACAGGGTGAGTACCATGGTGTGAGCATAAGTCTGGGAGACAAAAACTTGCCAAGTATTGTTGCTCTTCACTAACTCTCTCATCTCCAGTCCATTCAGCATCTTTCACGGTGCTGGCTGTAGTGCAGGTCATGCATTTCAGTACAAATGAATTTGGAGGCAGAAGTGGTTTCAAGTGTTTGTAGTGATGGATCCCCACAAACATTGGGTATATTGTGTGTGGAGGAAGAAGAGATTTTTTTAAAGAAACAAGTTTTCATCTGAAAAGTTAGCTTGTTAATTGAAGCTAAAATTGAATTTATGGCATATCCCCATTCTATCAAGGATTTGACAGTTTTATGGTTGTGTTTTCTTACTCTACAAAATTTACCCTAGATAAATAAAACTGACCTTTGTAGACACTCATTTTGGTAGAGACCACCTCTAAACTAATTTCTTCAGGAGAGTTACAAATGTCCAATCATCTTGTTTCAAACTCTTTGTCCTATGGTAATAGTTGGATCTGGGATCTTACGGTCCTGGGCACTGCATATAGATGGGTCCTTCCCTGGAACACAGTGTGTGCAGGCTTACTAGTTGTTAAGCAAAGTAGAATCATTCAGAGAACTAATGAGAAAAAACAAGGGAAATTGCTACAATTGGGTCACCTAAGGAGATCTTCCTTGATGTCAAGATTTTCTTCTTATCTTTTTAAAAGTTTGTGTGTAAGCTAAGATTTCCACTCAGCACTGCATTAAGAATGGACTGGATGTATCATCAGCATCAATATTGATCTTAGAAAGGAAAAAAAAAAATCAAGTAATAAGGATTACTTGATATCAGTGATAGTAAAAGCACACACTGTTATTCCACAGTTTGACAGCAATGTACTTTTTACATTCTTTTGCTCCTTGGGTATTAAAAAAAAAGAGAAAGCTATTAGAGAAAATAATAAATTGTATTGTATTTTGCAATGGTCTGAGGAGATAATGAGGATTTTAAATAAGGAAAGCTTGGATGGATGACTTGGCATGCTTAGAGCATTTGACTTCATAATTCAGTAGACAGTATTTTTTCTCGCAATCTCTATTGAGACATATAGTGCCCTGGCATGGTCTTAGACAACACTATGTTATTGAAGATGCTGTTTTTCAAATAATGCATAACAGATGTCCTTTTCTTTAGAGGTCACCTGAATCCTCATTACACTTTTTCAAGGCAATACATTCCCATCAAAATTTCTGTTAGGCTTTCTCAGCTGTCTGCATTTCCTGTGATTTTGCTGGTCATGTTCTTTTGCCTGAGCGTCCCTGGCTGGAAATGCACCCTGTGTGAATTCAGCCAGCTGTGAATTATTGCACAGTGTTAATGTGTGTTAATGTGTTAACGTTAATGGCTGCATCATTCCCCTCTAGAGATGACTGACTTCCGATGGTAGCTAAAACAGTTGCATTTGCTGGTAGTTATCTAAGGCCCTTTATGCATATTATAAATTATTATTTTATTGATTGAAAAGTTGTATTTTTACTAGTTTCACTAGCAATGATATAAAATCTAAAATGTCAGGTTGAGAGCCAGTTGCCTGGCATTAGAACACAGACTAAATCAATCAATATATTGTAAAGTATAATAAAAAACAAATTTCTAAAAAAAAATTTTGAGATTTAGTTTCTTATCATTGCGAGCTCTGGGGACTGCAGGTCTTTAAGTAATAAATAGGGACCCTTGGGTGTGAATTAATTTATTTTAGGTCCCTTTTGTAAAGAAATTCCTCAAGTGCACTGGTGTAACCATGAAAACATTTTTAAGCAGAGAGCTTGTGATTGTCCAGACCCCTCCATAAAAAGAGGGGTCTGCAAAGTTTACATACCAAAATAACAGTAGATTTAATCAAGACAATACCAGTTAGTCATACTTTGCTTTCCTGGTTTGTCTCATCAGAAACTGGCCATTCCTGGTTAAGATTAGCACTTATACCTGGTAATGTTTTGTCAGATGGGCAATTCAGCTCCATATTTTAAGGTTTTGCTGATATGACAGCCCTGTCAAATTCCTATCAGCATTGTTTTTAATCCTGTTATTCGAACCTTATGCAGAAATTGTGCAGTTAATGTACAGCAGGTGGAAGGTGGTGCTGTGAGAAAGTTTCCTGTCTCGCCAGTGAAACTGAACTGTTTAAGATTTTGTAACACAACCAGAAGTTGTGAACTAGAAGTCCTTTAATTTACACAGCTTCTATAGTACTGTCTGCTTCTCTGTAGGACTGAGAAAATCACTTTGGAATACTGAAAGCAATTTTCAGTCCCTGGAGACTGAAAGGATGTCCAAAGCTGGAGAAAGTACAAAAGAGGGGACAAAGGAAAAAGACATATTGCACAATAGACAACTGCAAACATTTAATTTACATGTCTCAGAAAAAGATCTTCTTGGGGTTATATAAATAGTAAACATGTTTATACAACATAAGGGAAGAGATTTGTGTTGTACAGAGAAAAGTGAGGCAGGGACTATGAATTTAAAATTAAAGATGGAAAAGTACTTCTTGGACATTTAAAAGAGTGAGAGCAAGTACTGTCTTCTGCTTAGTTTATAATGTGTCCCTTTTTGTGAGTGGCTAATAATAGATTTGGTGAAAGGGATTTGGCAAAAGAACAAACTATTTGGTTCTTATGATTAGAGATTTAAGAAAATAAAGACACAGTGGGATTAGCAGGGAGGAATATTTTATTGATAGTGTGCATTGCCCAAATCTCATAAGGTTTCTCTCAACTCTAACATATTTTACTTTGTGAATATAATCATCTTAAAGCATTAATTCTGCCTTCCATGCTCTTCTTATTAATTTAGGTAGTTATTGCGAGAGCTCTCTGAATGTCTGCTGAATTCCCAAAAATACGATTCATTCCATGGAAGCACTGTGCTAATAATATTATATCCCCAGTGTTGGTGAAATTTTGGCATAGAACATCTGCTATGCTTTCTGAAGCGTGACGCCCACAAATCATCTGTTTCAACAGACCCAGATTATCACTAGTAGAGTTTTTAATAAGAACTCTGTTACTGGGAAGCATCTGTAACGTTGCCTACTTTCTAGCTGGAAACTTGAAAAAAGGAGCTGTTACCACTTCTGATGTGCAGAAGGATGCCACGCTACTGCCATGAGACATCGGGGTTACTAACTGTTGGGCTATATTCTTGTAAACATTCAATTTATTTGCCTGTGTTTTCTGCTTAGAGTTCTGGCAAATGAATACTACATCGCAGGAATTTGTTGTAAAGCCAAGACACAAAAGAAGTAAAAGGCAGGTATGTGCCAGTATGCTTGCTTATAAATAATATGCCATCAAGATTGTTTTGTGCCTGCTGAATTAATTTATGCAGATGGAGTCCCACTGCTGCTGCTGATTTGGCATGAGGTCTCTGTATCAATATAGCTATTACAAAAAAAGATATCTAATGTTGACAAACATTGTTGGGTTCTCTGCCTACTTGGAGAGTTATGAAATTGTTAAACACTGCTAAATTGCAAAGGAAAAAGTATCTAAAATATTTTGTCTCATTTTGAGTGTAGGGTTTTATCAGAAACTCACAATGAATGAAACATTTACAAATATTTTTTATGTTACAATGGTGATAAGTTGCTACTTTAACTTACTTGTCTTTGATTTAAAATGAATATTCTAAAATGGGGAGGCCAAAAAGTGAAGACATTTGTCTGTACCCTGGAGAAATATCAGCAATTCTTTGCATTTTGGGAATGGAGCTCAAATTATGGAATGGGTCAAAACAGAGCTGGGTCAGGAGGGCTGAACAGCACAAGCAAAAATAAAATACTGAGAGTAGTGGGGAGAGGAAGATGACTAGAACATCTCTAACTAATGGCAAGCCTCTCAGAGGAAAAAGAGAAATGAAAAAGACATTGGAGAAATTCCAGAAGTAATTCTTGAGTGTCTTACTTTATATCAGGTGGTTTGCTACCTTTCTATAAAATAGCTATTACTCTGCATTTTTAAATTGTAACAATGTAATAACTCCCCTGGAAAACCCAGGAAAACAAGGACATCGTGAAGAAGCACAGTTGTAAATGTTTGTAAATGCAAAGTAAGCGTAACATAGAGGTAAGTACAGCATTCACTGTGTGAATCGAGCAGCGTGCAAATAAATAATAGAATTGTTGCAGAGATCTTCCATGAAGAGTGCAGGAGGGATCCCTTTCACTGTGGAAAAAAGTTTATAGCTGACACAAGCCATTTTTAGAGATATAAGCCTTACTGAGGATTCACTTTCTTTAAAAAAGCCTAAACTTGAGATTAGATGAGTTGTAAGACTTGATTTCGTTGTTTAAGGTCATATAAATGTTCTGGTGAAGATGAAAGAATTTTTTAAAATGATGCAAGTAAGAAGTAAGTTAAATACCAGAAGTTTCATCAATGTCTAAGATGAGAATTAAGACAATACAAAAAATGTATGCATGAGAAGTTTGGTTTCTTAAGCCATTTTTAGTTACTAGTTACACTCTCTCTGTACTCTGTTAGACTCTCTTACAGTTGCACTCTCTCCGTAGATTCGTCAGATTCCACATAAAGTTGAAGAGGAAACAAAATACATTGAGTTAATGATTGTAAATGATCATCTAATGGTAAGACTGACACACTTCGACATTTTACAATTATCATTAACATCAAATTGTCTTAATTGGTTCATAAAGGATAACAGTAAAGAACAATATATGGCCAGAATAAATTCAGTATGCCCGTAAGAGAAGAGATCACAGTCTCATTAAGCATTGATGAAATTGCTTCTGAATTTTGGCAAGATGATTTCACCAAGAATGCAACCAGGCCTGAGTATCGGAAAGAAGGATCATAAATTAAAGCTTTGTGTCATAAAGTAATTCAGTCAGTGTGACTTAAGCTGATGATATTATTTCTGGCTTTCTTGAGCAGTTATCTTCATTATAGCCACTCAGCAATCAATAATGCAGTTATTGCAATTGTGCAGCAGCAATTGACAATGGGGAGATGAATAGTGACTAGATTTTTTTGATATGTTCAAATCAATATAAAATTATTTTGTTAAACTTGTATACTTTCTCTGGGAGAACATAAATAGGCTCTTTAATCTATTGGAAAGAGACATAATAAAGATTAGTGTATTGAAGAAAAACTAGGCTCATTCCAGTGGGAAAAGGCACAGATTTATATCAGTGAAGATGATTAATAATTAATGAAAGGAATATCAAAAGAAATGGTGAATTCTTCATCTCTTGCGGCCTTCAAATCCAGACAGTATTTCTGGAAGATGTGGTGGTGTCAAACACAAACAATAGGATTTGCTCTTGAAGTAACTGGATAAAGTTGAGACTGGTGGTGCCCCTCTGACTGATGACGTTAGTTGATTTCATGGTCCTTTATGGCTTTAAAATCAAAATGTATTTATATGTTTTATCTACCTTATCTGTAATGTACAGCTTCTCTCAAGCAATACCCAAATTGGCAAAAAAAGACATCAGAGTGTACAAAGAATGTACCACTGTCCTTGGACTGCGTAGGCCTCGATTAGCTCAGTTTGACGAGCATAGCAATAAATTCTTGGATTAAAATGGACAATACTGAATGCAGAATTTCCTAAATTGATGTCATTGTGTTTGATCCTGAAGACCTGAAGCCACAGCTTTCCCCTTGGGAACTTATCTGTCTGGGCTGATTCACCCTAAGGACAGTACTTCCTAATTTTGGTTTATAGCTACTGCAGGAGTCAGTCCACTTAGGAGTTTATTCTCTGAAGCAAATGCCAGCAAATGTCTGTGGTTGAAGAAGCTGAATAATTTCCTCCTGGGAGAAGGAAGTGTTGTGCACTCGGGGGTCCTCCCTTTCCTGATGGCCTGGGCTAACGCATGTGTGTATTTGAATTACTCGCTGTGTGTGCAGTCGATGTGGCACTCCAGGTGCACTCAGCATGGACCTGACACCCCGCAGAGTTGGAGCCCTTCTCACAATTCACCCTCCCCAGGCGCTTCCAGAGGTAGCAATGAACCTCGTGCTTCTTCCTCTGGTCGGTGGAGCCAGCTGTGTCCTGCCAGCTCCGTGGGCTGCTCTGCAATGCCCTCCTGCGTGCCCTCTCAGCTGCTTGTCCAACCCTTGCTTCCAGTTGGGCAATAAAGCTTTTAAAACCCAAACATTAAAATTGACTTATAAAATAGTATACTGAAAACATTTCCATAGGCCTCCAGTGTCTCTAAACATCCTAAAGTTCGAGGTTTTAGTTGCATATAGAGACTTGAGTAGTATAGATATTTCCCTACATTCCTGTGCTTCATTTTTTCCCTTATTTTGTAGCTTTTTCATTTTGTCCTTTCTGCCATTTTTAGCTTCACAGTCCAGTCCTTCTGTTTTTTTAGTAAGTGTAATATCCTAATTTTTGGTGGGTTTTCCCCCATTCCTGTTTTTCCTGCTTGAAAATATGTCTTTCCCACTCCCTATCTGCTGGGTACTTCTTGCACACTAAAGGATCCTAACTTCCAGAAAATACGGAGAACTTTCACTCCAAAATCAAGCATCATGGGGCACAAGATGGTTAAACATTTCTGAAAATCTCGTCCCTTTTGTCCTAAATTATTCTAAGATACTTATGAATTTCATACCTGTGGTGCTTCTTTAGAAGTGTTTTTCTGCAAATAGGAGTACCTGGACAGCTATCTGCAGCATCATCTTTATAGCACTGCATTACAGATTTCAGTAATGGTGCCATTACAGTCTGCTTGCGAGAGTGATTTGAACCAGTTACTGTAGCATTATGGGTGTATGAAATTGTACATGAAGAAATCCAGAAGACAGTTTAAGAGAGAACTGAAAAAAATAGGAGATGTGATAGATTAAAACATGGATGCACACACTCTTGGGGTAACAACTCTAAAGGAGTCTCAACTGTGGAAGTTGTGTTGCTTATTTCTGTATTGGCATTTGGAATTAACTTTAAAATTGCCAATAATAAAGATAATGAAGTAACAATATGTTCCTATAGCATTTTTCACTAAAGATCTTAGAATACTTTCCAAACAGGAGTTAACACATCCTCACAACAGCTGTGGTAAAGTGTATCAGTAATGTGCCTTTCTCAGTAATTTTCTGCTATCACTTATTAACATTACATTCAGCACTGGAGACTAAACCTCACACAGGGGTTTTACTGTTGTTGTAGTTGCTTTTTACTTTGCGCTTTTTTGGAAATTGAGCTTATTTTTCTGAAGTCTGTATGTGTAACTTGTCTCTGTTTGTTTCACAGTGTAAAAAGCACCGCTTGTCAGTTGGCCATACAAACAGCTATGCTAAATCAGTTGTGAACATGGCAGATTTAGTAAGTATCACTCAACTAAATGTTCTTTCACTTGTGAGATGAGTCATATGATTCTTCTGCTGATAGAAACAGGAGTTGTCAGTTCATGGTATACCTAATAGTAACATATGTGAAGATCACAAATTTTTATCTAGAACCACAGTCAGCCACCTGTAAAACTTTTGTCTAACATAAAGCATTAGAGATTTTTTGTGGCTTCAAACATTTAAGTATCCTGCTGGATCAATCCCTTGAGTCTGAGCTTTTAAGAGCACCTTAGATGATAACAATTTTTAACACAAGATGCCTATGTTGACAATCTGAAACCCAAAAGACAATCTGAAATTAGAAGGTACTAAAATTTCAGCAGAAAAAGAGCATTTGAGTAGATGAGTTAGAATAGGGATATACAGATGGATTATGTGGATTATATTTGTGACACTAAATTGGCTGAGCTGCTGGATCTTGCATCTCACCCCAGAAAAGTATTACTAGAAAAGGAAAGATGTGATTCCCACTCTTGAAAGTATTTGGTGTTGGAGTATTAACTCCCAGCGTTGAAAGGTTGACCCTTTTTTTGTTATTTAGCCAGCATGAGGTTAAATACTCCTGTAGAGGTGTGTAACAGTGAAAAATGTGGTTTTATAGATCACTGTTTCATGTAAGAGAGCCTTTGTGTGTCACTGGGGTGAGCTGGATGTTATAAAAGAACCATTAATTCCAAATCTTTGAACTATATGGAATTGTTCTGTAGTAATTTTTCAAAAATCCCGTCTCCCTTCCATGCACCTCTACCTGTATAGGACCTTCAAGGAATATTTTTGCAGGGAGAGAGAGCCAATTGAAGAATTAGGCCTAAAATTTAGATTTTACTTTGTTTTTAAGTTTGTTTGTTGGTTTCAAGGGTTGTAAAATCACCTGGGAGAACCTAAAGTATGGTAGAGCAAGCTAAGCATTTAGTTATATAAAAATGCAAGCTCTTACAAAAAAGGGGTAGAACTTACCTTTATTCTATTTGACATAATACATTTGTTCATTCTGTTAATGTACTAGATATATAAAGAACAACTTAACACCAGGATAGTATTGGTTGCCATGGAAACCTGGGCTACTGATAACAAGTTCACCATATCTGAAAACCCCTTGGTGACCCTACGTGAGTTTATGAAATATAGGAGGGATTTTATCAGAGAGAAAAGTGACGCAGTTCACCTTTTTTCGTACGTAACTTCGTGTGATGTTTTATTACTGGGTTTTTTTCTTTCCTTGGGGGTTACTTATCACATGTGTCTAATGCGTCTCCTTTGCATCTCCTTTCTGTTGTGTATGTAATCCACAATAATTCAGAAGATAATGTTTCTGATGGGGAGGTGGGAAAAAGTTAATGCACAGACTGGCTGGCAGTACAACTAGAGGCTTAACTTTCATTTTAGTTTTAATTTACTAAGCCTGAGCTGCATGCGCATGCATCCTTGGTTATTCTGTGCAATTACCTGCTCCACAAATGCAGCTGCCTGGAAGGTGATGTATGGTTCCACAGTGGAGCATGGCTTCTTCAGCAGTAGAGCACGGACAGCTCTATTGTGTTATTTAAAAACAACATTGATTTCAAAACCGGTGAGGTTTTCTGCTTAAAAAGTACTATGGTTTGCTTTACTTTGTTGAATGAACTTGCATGCTGCAGGATTTGCAGACATATGCTGTAAGAATAAACTGGGAGGAATGTTATTTTTTCTAAATCTCTTAATTGTTTTGAAATCAGGATTGATATAACAAAATGTCTGAACAAAAATAGAGGAGAGGTTCACGGTTGAGATTTTTGATCCACACAAGACAGGCCAGCTCTGTTGGAGTCCTTATCCCTCTCTGCTCTTTGTTGTAGGAGCCTCTATGAATAAACCTAACCTAAACACCTTGCTTTCACGTGACTGGTAGGGTGCGAGGCTACTCAACCCCAGTATTGACCCTCTTAGAATTTTTGCACATGCTTTATTACTGTCATTGACTTCTGCCATGACTAGAGCTAGTAAGATCTGCAAGTGTTGCTTGCAGATTTTCTCTGTGTCTCTGTAAAAGGGAAAGACTCTTCATCTGTGTACTATATTAAAACTATAGTTCTTCATCTATAAAATGGGAATCAGGTTTTCTCACATCCTTCGTGTATCTTCTTTGGTGATACTGGAAGGTGTTTGGGAGAAGCCTTATTCTCATGAATGCTTGTGGATTGGGCAGGACAAAGAGAGTCCTGTTTGCCCTGTGACTGGGACTCTGGGTACCACTGTAATGCTAATTCCAGTGCTGTCCATAACACCACCACTCATGTTTGAGGTATTGCATGAATAGACTCTTGTAAATGTCTCATATATGAGTGAGACACAGCTCAGCTGGGAGGCGAGGTTGGCTGCTGTAATGATACCCTGGTTGCAAATGAACTTCTGCCTTCAGCACAGTTAGCCCATTGTATTGTTTCTTGATGTTTTTCTGTTTTCCTTTGAAAAAACCAATTTGCCACAGCTGAGATGGATCAGTACTCTGATGTGGAGCAGAGTTTATTTTGTCTTCAGTAACTGGCAGTCATTCGTGCTGACATGGTCAGCAGCAACGAGGTGATTATACTTAGGGTCAGAGTGCATCTGTCCTTTGGATGAAATTGATTGCAGTTCCAGGGAGTTTTCACCTACCTCTGCATCAGGGAGCCACTAACACATCTCCTTTTGAGTTTTTCTACATCAACATTACCCAACTAGACGTGCATCTTTTTTAATAGTCACCCATGCATTGCCAGCGTGATGGTCTCTCCTGCACTCTGTAGCATGTGCCAGCGGAAGTGACTTGCTGCAGTAGTATGTCAGAAGGCTGCTAAGATTCAAGTGGTTTGGAAAAATAGTCCCCTTATGCTTTCTTGTATTAGGTAGTCTGAGAAGGAGGAGGCAAGATGGTATATAATTTGTCATGTGATGTTTGTAAGTGGTTATCTGTTTTTCCCATTTTGTTTTTTTCATAGTTTGCAGCATAGCGGTGGCAGCCAGCATTTGCAAATGCCAGTTTCTCATTTCAAAATAAGAAGGGTAAATATTGGAATGAATAGGTGCAAAACTCATGGGCTGAGCAGGGTAAACTTTCTTTTCTTTTCCTTTTTGTCAAAGGGGCAGTCGATTTCAGAGCAGTCGGAGTGGTGTAGCCCACACTGGTGGAATCTGCTCCTTGCTTAAAGGCGGAGGTGTGAATGAGGTAGGTGTGGATACTGGTATGAGCAAAAAGTGGTGGAAATTTATCTGCATAGAATTTATCTGTGCAGACGTGTTCCTCAAAATATCTTGCTGCTTCTTCGCTGTTGCAGTTTTAGTGCAGCTCTATAGAAGGGATGTCTCAAGGAAGAGCAATGAGTGAATAAAGTCAGGTGTGGATTCAAAAGCACTTTTCAGCAGATTCTGCAATATACTGTCTTTCATACTTGCAGTTAGAATGGCAAGGAAGAAACAGACTTTCTCTTGTCCATAAGCCAGCCAATTTTCCTCACATATCAATTATTCAGCTGCTCTGAAGTAAGAACTTTAACACTGTGCATCTGATTTTGCCTTTTGTTGCCTTGAAATGAGAAAAGCTTCACTGGTATCTGGGATACCTGTATGTAACTGATTACTCTTCCTACCTTGCTTGTTTCTTTCAGTTTGGAAAGCCAGACTTAATGGCAGTTACTCTGGCACAGACCTTGGCCCAAAACATTGGCATTTTCTCAGACAGAAGAAAACTTATGAGTGGTAAGTTTGCTTTCTCACTCTGTCTCAAGCGAAAATCATAAAATGTGGAGAATCTTATTGGTGTCTCTCTGATACGTATTTTTTCCCCATGTTTTTCACAATGTTGGAATATTTTTATTTTTCTTGTAATAACATGAAGAGCAACTGACATATAAATAATTTTCATCTATTTAAGTGCTGTGATATCCCCTCGTTATAAGTGCTGGCAGCAATGGTGTCACCATTTTGTTCAAAGGAAATCATAAAGGTGTCTTCCACTTCCATTCATTTCAGGGAGATCGATGTCGCACCCACAGATTGAATGGCTGCCATCTTATGGCACAAAGATAGAAACATACAGTATTAGATCTGAGGATGATGAGGAGCCACCTCAATCCTGTTAAGCAGGGTGCTCTTGACAACATAGCTTTTTTTCCCTGTTTGCCTTGATTGAATTCCCCTTGTAGGTTACTCAAATCTCTTGTATTCACCACTGCTACCATGGAGGGCTGAGACTACAGCAGAGCAATCCCAGGCAGCCTGGCAGGGCAGAAGGGAGGGCTGCCCTTCGCCTGCCGGCGGGTGGGGTGGGGAAGGAAGGCAGGCAGGGAAGAGAGGGAGAGCAGAGGAGGAAGCTGCTAGATCCTGCTCTACTAGCTTGTCTTTACAGACCACTTTATGAATTTTTGTGTGCATTATTGTTTGAATTTTCTTTCAAGCAAAGAATTCACCAGTCATATTAGCATAGTGGTAGAAGAGAACTAAAAAATTAGAACAAAGGATAAAGTGATTTGTTTTCTTTAGTCTGGAAATTTGGAAATCAAATATCATGACATGGGTGAAGACAGGAGAGCTGACTTATGATTTGAAAGTGCTGGAGGCTGATACTGCAGTTTCCCCTAACTTCACTTTAAGAGAAATAAAGAAAAACAGGATGTATTTTCAAAGCTCACGGTTGCACGGTCATGTGAATTTTTTGAAAGAAGTTTTGTCAGTGTGCATTGATACACTTAAACTAAGTTGTACAATAAACCAGCAAAGTATTATTTTTTATTTGTATTTACATATGAAATGGAATTAACTATAGTGTGGTTTCTGTGATACAAAATGTATTATTTTGGACTCACAAGACTCAAGATGTGAATTTTTTTTTTTGTTGTTGTTGTCAGGTGAGTGTAAGTGTGAGGACACGTGGTCTGGATGCATAATGGGAGACACAGGGTAAGGCATTTCACTAGAAGAAAGTAATGTCCTTCATACAATGACATAAGGGAAAGGTGTGAAAACGTTGCCTTTTGTGGTTCAGTGGAATGTTTTCTTTGTTCAGAAAGTAAGGTATTAGCTGTACAATATTCATAGAAAAGACACTTTCAAAGAACTGTGTGAATAAGTGAGTTAATGAGAGGACGTGTGAGGATTTTTAGTGACCACTGGTTTAACTCACAAAGCACAGGGCTCAACAGCCAAGCCAGGTCGTAGCAGAAAAGCAGAAGCATGCTTAGCTTCTTTTTTCCTGTGCGTTTGCTGTTGAGTTGTGGGAACAAACAATGACAGACCCTAATTCTTGAAATACTGTTACCAAATTGCTTAAGTGTGTCTCATTTTCAGTGTTCCTGTTGGAATCTTTCATTATCATTTTTTATCCTTCAGTTTGTGTGATAATGTGAGAAAAACTGCTCCCATTGGAAGTTGACTATGCTTATGCCCACATCCAATGTCATCAGAGAGATTTTATCAAAAGGCTAGTGAATCAGCAAATTTTTGCTGCTAGATAAAACTTGATACTTCCTAATACGTGTATTCAGATCTTAATTCTTAATTTTACAGAACTGCCTTTTGTCATGTATATGAATTAAAGTGTAGTGTAGTGTAGTTTTAGATATAGACTATGCTTTTTAAATTAATTTTGAAGTGACCTGCAAATTTTCACAATAGCTTTGTGGTTAGAACAATTTTGAACAAGGAAGCACGTTTCATTGAAGCTCTTTGGAAGTGTGAACGTGTGTGTTTTTCACCTTGTCTGCCTAAAAACATACTAGGTAGGATTCTTCTGATTTTTTTGTAGGTTACAAAGCCAATCTGAGAAGCATTCTTGATTCTTGTAAAAGTGATTTCTTATCTAATGGTCTTTAAATTATTTATCTGAAATCCAAACCTTTCAAATAATTACGTACACAAAAAAAGCTTGTATTTACATAGCTTATTGATGAAGGATGGTGAATCCTATATTCCCTGTAGTCTTTAGACCTAAATCACAAGCACTAGAGATGGAAAAAATTAATTACAGTTTGCAAGCCATCACTTCTGGCAATGCAGGATTATTTTATATACTACTTCTGCTAATATTTTTTATGCAGTGATGAGTTGATAGAGGAAAGCCCTTGAGGCTGCAAAATCTGCTTGAAGCATCAGTGCTTTCATGACTAAGGACCTAAATGTAAAGATCACGTAAGTTACTTTGGGAAAAATTCTTTCCCTGTGGAAAGGATCTATGCAAAGATTCTCTGCATCATACTGGTTTTAGGTGGTGCACTGTCCTTAGGTTGGCACTCTGTACTACTTGAATGACATTTACACAGTGGGGCACATGAGGGAGGGAAGCCAAAATGTTAGCTGATGTTGGTTAGAAGCAGTTTTAAAATAGCATAACTCTATCATATAAAAATTCTGTGGGCCCGGAGAGCAATTTCATCTGACAGGGGAATTAACTGTGGGCAATATTTGTCTCCTGTGGTATGTACGGGAAGAAATAAATGTATTTCTGAGATCAGGCCCGTTAGTGGAACAGGTCATGTTTGTAAGAACTACACACTGTGTAATAAGATCTGTGGTATTTGTCATGAAATAACTTAGTTAAATGTTTTAGACCTCTCACCTTCCATGAGCTCTGTGTCATTGTTGAAAAATTCTTTGTAATTTACTAATGTGATTTACAGATTAGATAGGAGTTACAAGCAGGTAGTCACTCTGATTCTGAACAGTGGTTTTTTGTACTTTTCTAAAGTATAATATGATATTTCTTCTCCTATTTTGAAAAAAGAAAATACAGTGTAAAAAGCACTACAGACAGTAGTCCTGCTGCCTTTTTTCCTTGCAGGTATTATCTTCCAAGCAAGTTCTCCAAATGTGATATTGAAGAGTATCATGAATTTTTAAACAATGGAGGTGGAGCCTGCCTTTTCAATAAACCAACCAAAGTAAGCATTGCCCTATTATTAAGTATTATTTATATTCTATTTCTAATTTAGATGAAACCATGAAGAATGAAAATGATAACACTGGAAAAAAAACCCCCTGTAATTTTGATATTTCTAGTTCTCTCCAAGTTCTAAATTCTCTGGTGACATATGAATGAAAGTGGCTGATTTTAGTTCATAGTTGTTTGGAAATTATATTTAAATAAATTTTTAATAAGAGGTTTCATGTCCAACAGAGTTCCCACAGGCTTTGATCTAGAACCATCCCTCATGCAATTTGTTCTGAGTATTGTAAATACAATGTAGCTGAATATATTTGCTGAAGTTTTAAGTGTCTTGGTAAACTTTGGAACAGCTTGAATTCTAGTTTGTGGTGAACTGATGTCTTCTGATACAAATCTCTGGAAGCTGAAGTAAGATTCCTTTTATTTCACATCTGTCCCAAGAAGAAGACAGCTCCTAGAGCCTCTTCAGGAGAGTGCACTGCTGTGCAGCCCAGCGACTTTTCAGGCACCAGCGGTTACAAGTCGTTGGCATATTATCCCTGTTCAGCAAAGTTTTTACGGTGGCTCTCAGAACAGTTTGAAAACTGGGACTAATTTTTCTAAAGCTGGACGAGGCAGAGCAGGAGACAAAGCCCTGAGGAGCAGGGGACAGACTAGAAGAGCCTGTGGCTGCTGGGCACCCATCACAGTCTTCATTCCCCAGGCGCTGCCCACATGGTCCCCATCACTGTCACCAGGGTCTCTCATCCTCTGAACTGCATGTGCTGGGGAAGAAAGGTGTCTAGTGAGAAGTGCTCAGATCATCTTAGCCCTGTGTTAGCTCCTTGCAGGTCAGCACATGTGACTCTGCAGAGCCCTGCCTTGTGGGACTCCCCAGATGAGGAAGGCTGGTGAATCCCTGCTGGACCCTGGTCCTCAGTGCTGCTGTGCCTTGCCTCATTTAGCAGGGTGTGTTACCTCCCTAAACGCTTGGTGGCAGGAGAGCTACAAAAGCACTGAGACCCACTTAAATGGCTGTCCCATCCCCTCCAAATTTGCCTCTGAAGTATGAAATCAGAGGTCTTGCTGCATGAGGCTTGGAAATCAGAAGCGGGGAATATCTTTTGAGATAGTATTCGCCTTTGCTTTGCTTCTCTTGTCTCAGTTTTGGCCTGCTAAACAGGTGTGTTCATGTGGAGGATGTAAAGACTGCGAAGTGAGACATTTAAGGGAGATAAATACAAAACAAGGCTAAAGAAACTCCAGTCAAGATGCAAGCACTTCTACAATGGAGGGTTTGCAGCAGGGTTTCTATATGTTCCAACTCCATTTGCTGAAGCATGTGTTAAAATGTAAAGTAATTATGCTAATGGTCTTGACTCTTTTTTATATATAATTAGTGTTATCTTCTGTTTAATGGCTGTGTTTCAACAAGCAAAGGAAAGAGGCCAAGGCAGAAAGGAAGTCCAACATGGGAAAAAAGACTTGGTAGCTGAGGTGTTCACAGATGTAAAAGAGAGAGGCAATTCTGGAGTGCTGCACATTCCTCCTGGGGCAGCTGAGAAAAAGTGCATGTTCTAACAACCACAGAATTTCAGGAAATGTTAGAGAGATGAAGAGAAAGCATCAAATCTGGATAAGCTGAGTCTGCTTGCCTCTTGAAGGTCTCCTTTTCATGGAAGAATTGTTAAGTATTGGTAAAAAAGGAGAGAAAGCACTGTAATTCATTAGTAAGATGTAAGACTTCTCATTGTTTAAAATGCACTTGCATTTTAGAAGTTTTTTTTTTCCCATCTCATTAAAGGTTGAGAGAAATATTGGTGGTTTTATTTCTTTGCTGAGTGATTTTTTTCCATAGTGTAATGTGTCATATTTGGGCTTGTTTTAGTCATTATGTCCATTTGCACATCTGTCACTTGGAAAAAAACAATTACTGTCATCTCAATTTAGATTGGCAGCATTTACAATTTTTTTCTAATGACATGAGGAAATGTGAAAGTTAGATGTGGAAGCCAAGGTGATTTAGACTCTTTTACGTATCATTGTTTGGGTTGGCTTAAAGTTATCGTCAGTGGATGTCTGTCTAATTCACAAGGCTGTCAAAGACATGTTTCCTAGCAAAGGTAGTGAAACACAAACTTACTTTTGCTTTTCAAGAAATATGAGATAAAAGAAAACTGATGTGACAAGGTGCCGTGTTTTGACAGTGCTCCACTGTAAGATCAGCTGTGATCCCAAAAATTACATCAGTGACTGCTGGAGCAGATTGAGTGTATGCTCTTTTCAAATGAATAGATGAATTATATGACTTTTAGGGTAAAGTTACTCAATTTGCTTTTCATGTTTTTTTCTTGCATTTCATATTTAGCTGTCCCTATGTATTGTTGCAGATTTACCCAATGTTTTAAGGCAGGACCCTCTGTTACTGCCATCTGATTGTCTATATTGTGCAGCACACCTAGAAATACTGGGGAAGTTAAGATGTCTGGAAAAATATGTAGGAAACAAGCAGTTTTAACAACTCTTCAGTAATTCTAAAAGATAATTGCTTGCTTACATGTAATGTAACATTCTACATATGCATTTCATGCTGCAGTCAAGCTTCCATTTCTGCAGGGGGATCTAATAATAGCACATCAGCCTGTACCACAAGCCTTAGGCTGGTTTGTGGCAAAGAGCAGTGCATGGGATGATGTCTTGGTGACACACTTATATGCCTTATTATCTATGTAATAAAAGTATTCTTATGTTATGTTTTGTAACGCCCAAAGAAAAAAAAGTAAGATTTTATTTTCTTTCTGAGAAATTACCTCTAGAAATTTTAGGAAAGCTGAAACAATGAAACTGGAAAGAAAAGGGTATAGGTGTCTGTTAAAAGATAACATAGCATGGGTCCTATGTGAAAAATGGTGAATGAATCTTGCCCCTGGGAAAGGAAAGTACTAGTACAAATACACAGCTTCAGACATTTTAAGTTACAGTTTGGTGGAGAGGCAGAAGGGAAGGGGAGCAAGCCTCACTAGCTATACTTTATCATCTACCTGTGACACGTGCTTATGGAAAACTGCTGAAAGTTCCCAACTGTGGTAGAGAAAAAAGGAAGGAAAAAGCATCTGACTGCAATAAAAAATAACAAAGAAACTCAGCCTCTCCCCTCTCCCTGCATTTCTGAGCCACATGTTCCCAAAGGACAATTTGTTATGGCTATTCCTTCTGAAGGTATTATGCAGGCCTTAGCTGGGGACACAGCCCTTGTCACTTGAATTCCAGAACAGCAGCAATTGCAACCCCTGTGATGATAATGAAAATGTCATGTTGTTTTACATTTTTTCTTTCATTGTCACACCTTTGGTTTTTGATTGTGGCTTCTACTCAAAACTGAATGTGCTGTAAAAATGGCAGTCTCACACCAGAGACGCCACGTGACTGCCGTATTGCTGAATTAATTCACAGCATTGTTTGTTCTCTCACATTTCGTTTGTGTTGTTTCTAGTCTGCTTCTTCCTGAGTTGTGGGTACTGTGTTTTGGTTAGTGCATTTGGAGTGCTAGCTAAAAGAACATGTTGTAAAGAATAAACATGACAATGTTTCCCTTAGGAGAAACATGCCCTTTGATTTCTGATTTTGCCCTGCAGCTTCTGGATCCTCCAGAATGTGGCAATGGCTTTGTGGAAGATGGAGAAGAGTGTGACTGTGGGACGATAGCAGTAAGTGCAGTGTACTTTAAATTAGCAACTAGATTCTCCAGGACACAGTGCTGCCCATCACTGCTGTGGAGGGAGACAGGCAATGTTAAGGTCCTGTGGCAAAGGATTAATAATTTCTTACCTTTTTCCATGATGTTTAACAAAATGTGGGCTAGCTTTTCTATTTTATCAGCACATAAATTCTGAAAAGTAATAGCAATAGCTACCTGTGCAGAATCAGTCCTTAAAAGATGTTAAAGGAGGTATTTTTCTAGATGGGAACATGACTCTGGTCAGTGCTAAAATGTCAGTATTTAATGATCGACACTGTGAAGTTAGGAGACAGATTTCCTGTATTGCATAGGAAACAGCTATGCAGGAGCTTCATACCTCAATGGTGCTTTTTTTATCTGCCTGTAGGTGCCTGAAAGTCTGGTTAAAAAGCTGTTCAGGTAGCATGCTAAGACAAGAAGTAATAAGAGAAACTGGGGCTCATCTACTTTTCCCATGTATTCTGTTATAAGTGTGTGTGTTCCTCAGGAGTGTGCCAGTGAAGGAGGAGAGTGCTGCAATACTTGCACCCTGACAGCCGGTTCCCAGTGCAGCAACGGGCTTTGCTGTCGGAAGTGCCGGGTAAGGGAAATGACCTTCACTGCAGCATCCTGGTGGTAATGCATCCAAGTGGTTACAGGCACCACAGCACATCTTTTTCCTTGCAGACCTTGTGTTTCCTTTTCTAAAAGCTTACCTTTTAAAATTGCTTGAAAACTGGTTCATCTGGGGCTATTCTTTGTCTTTTAGTCTGGTTTCAGACAAGTTTGAATCAGGTTGACAGTCCACAAGGTTTCATTAGATGTCCTTGTTCAAATGCACACATCATTACTCATTTGCTGCTCCCAACATCTTACATTTTGCTCTTCGATTTGTCCCATGATACTGAATGCAAAAGTCATGCCACAGAGGTCTGAGAGAGCGATATAGTAAAAAAAAAACCCAAAACAACCAGCAAACAACAAAAACCCAACAAAAATCCCCGAAAAACCCCAAACTCACAGCTAGCAGAACTGTCAAAAGACCATATGTAACCATATGTTCCCAAATTTGGGGTTCAAAACCCCAAACTCACAGCTAGCAGAACTGTCCAGAAGTGTTCATTTAGAAGACACTTGACTTCAGTTTTAGTTAGGTCTGCCTGTGTCTCCTTATGTTTGGATGGACAGAAATCCTGTTGAGTAAAGGGAATCAAGCCCTATGTAAACTATAAGGTATTCTTCCTAGTACATCAGTAAATAGTAAAAGGAGTTTTAGTCAGATCTTGGCTGTAAGGGAGCCCAGCTAAGTATGACATCAAATAGTTGTTTTTACTCATGTAGTAATAATGATAATTATTATTAACGTTACTAAAACTGGTGTACTAAGTGTGGTATTTTTACCTTTGTTTGTGGGCATTTGAGAGTTTCATTTCCTTAGGAGAAACATGAGTAATAACTGTGGACCACATTCTTGACTTTATGATCATCCTAATGGTAAAAGAAGAAAAAGCACAGATTATGCTGGAACAGATCACATTTCCTTCAGCACGTTCTTTTTTTTTAAATAAAATATAAAACATCAGCAGATTGCCAGTGTGGGTGAATTTTGTTCAAGTACCCAAGTCACATAGACAACATATTAAAGAGACTCAGAAAAAAACTAAGCTTCTCTGTACCTACCTTATTTTTGCAACAGTGATAAGGGTTTATGTACATACAGAGTGGCGAGGGTAAGCCAATGAAGAGAAAGGCAGAATTTTGAAAACGTGTCCCTAGGATGTGTTAATCAGGACAACTCAAACGACCATATGTAACCATATGTTCCCAAACTTGGGGTTACCTTCCCCTGTAATACCCTGCCTGAAAGCAG